CAAAATATTTATGCATGTTTATGAAAAATCTACATTTTGTTTTAAAACATATTACTCTGTGCATTTGTTTTATATGACAAACCTGAAAAGTTTGAGGGGGGCCATTACCTTTGAGCGGCACTGTATATATTTAGGTCACAGCCATTGCATGTGCTTGAGCGGATCGGTGCGCTTGTCGAAGGAAGGACTTGCTCTGCGATTCGAGATACCACCATTCGAAAAGCTGTATTAACAAGTAATTATTGTCTCTTTTTTGTTTCAATTTTATTTTTAATGTCAATGGTCTATGCAACTATTAATTTTCGTTGTTGTTTTTTGTTTGTTATGTTATGTTTGTTATGTTATGTTTGTTATGTTATGTTTGTTATGTTATGTTTGTTATGTTATGTTTGTTATGTTATGTTTGTTATGTTATGTTTGTTATGTTATGTTTGTTATGTTATGTTTGTTATGTTATGTTTGTTATGTTATGTTTGTTATGTTATGTTTGTTATGTTATGTTTGTTATGTTATGTTTGTTATGTTATGTTTGTTATGTTATGTTTGTTATGTTATGTTTGTTATGTTATGTTTGTTATGTTATGTTTGTTATGTTATGTTTGTTATGTTATGTTATGTTTGTTATGTTATGTTTGTTATGTTATGTTTGTTATGTTATGTTTGTTATGTTATGTTTGTTATGTTATGTTTGTTATGTTATGTTTGTTATGTTATGTTTGTTATGTTATGTTTGTTATGTTATGTTTGTTATGTTATGTTTGTTATGTTATGTTTGTTATGTTATGTTTGTTATGTTATGTTTGTTATGTTATGTTTGTTATGTTATGTTTGTTATGTTATGTTTGTTATGTTATGTTTGTTATGTTATGTTTGTTATGTTATGTTTGTTATGTTATGTTTGTTATGTTATGTTTGTTATGTTATGTTTGTTATGTTATGTTTGTTATGTTATGTTTGTTATGTTATGTTATGTTTGTTATGTTATGTTTGTTATGTTATGTTTGTTATGTTATGTTTGTTATGTTATGTTTGTTATGTTATGTTTGTTATGTTATGTTTGTTATGTTATGTTTGTTATGTTATGTTTGTTATGTTATGTTTGTTATGTTATGTTTGTTATGTTATGTTTGTTATGTTATGTTTGTTATGTTATGTTTGTTATAAAGGTTAACGGCACTTTAGTAGAACTTGAAAAAGCACAATCACATCAATTTTACCTTTGAATTTGAAAGAAAAAGGAAAATTTGAATCTGAATACATGCGTTTTGTTCAAAACATTGGATTTTGCATTTAAACTATTTGTTCTCAAGATCGGACGTCCGATTCCGAGAAGAATGATCATTCTCCTCCGAAACGGACGTCCGACTCAGAGTCGGACATCCATCTCTGAGTCGGACGTCCATCTCTGAGTCGGACGTCCATCTCTGAGTCGGACGTCCGTTTCAGAGGAGAATGAATCTCCTCAGATTCGGACGTCCGGATCGGAAATGGACGTCTCCTCAGATTCGGACGTAACATATATATGTCGTAGCCGATTATAAATGAAATTTTTTGGCAAATCTTTCTAGTAGAGCAACCCTTTAATGTATGAGAACAATATTATTTCATCTTGTAGCGAATTAAATTCTGCGTCGATTGGTACCAAATTTGTGAGTTTAGGTTAAAAATTGCCGGCGCTACAACGTTTCATTCAAAATCGGCGGGACCCCCGTAGCCGATTATGAATTTCAGCCGCTTATGAATGAGTGACGTCCGACTCCGAGTCGGACGTCCGTTTCAGAGGAGAATAAATCTCCTCAGATTCGGACGTAACATATATATTAAAATGATTGAACCTGGATTCTGTTCAATCTGTTCCATTGTGTAGTCTTTTTTTGCTTTTTGTTGGATTATTGCCTTGCACCAAGAAAAAAAGCTAAGCATTTGGGTTTCCAGATATAACTCCGTTCTTAAGAATCTTCTTTCTTTTTTTATATAAAAGGAACAATACTTTATACGGGGCGAAAATTGAATTGGATTTTCGAACTTTTGGTCTATTTTGGAAGTTGAAATCAGCTATGGCTTAGGCCTGTTTACGAATAATAATAGTATAATATCAAATTTCGGTCAGCTCCCATCCCCATCATCTTTTCCTTTATCATTCTTTTGCGAACCGTATTAGTAGGGTTTGGTATAAGTTCCCGTCTTTGACTTGGAATAAGCTCCCGTCTGGTATCTTCTCGGCTGTAGGAAAATTGAAAGTATCTGTAAACGAATTAGATCTTATTGTCATGTCAAATCTGCCCTATATTTAATCTTTTTGTACCTGTGTTTCCTAACTGCAGTTTTACTGTACTATTTTTAGCTTTCTCTCTTTTTTGTGAAATTATTTTAGCAATATGTTATATGCGGTTATGATTATCTGATTCGCTTCTATTCGTCCCCTGAATAAAGCATATATTGGGTTGGTGGAAAAATCCTTTCCGATTTTTAGGGAGAGTACCTTAATTTTGTCGAATTTTGACTTTTTATAGCTCATCCTAAAGCTGAATTCAAGACGGATCGATTGGTAAAAACCGTTTTGAGATATCTCTTTTCTAAAAGTTTTTACAGCTATTTTAGTAAAGGGCGGCAGAGCCAAAAAAAATGGCTGTTTTCACGTTTCGTTAGTTTTCCGTGCAGAAACCTAGGCTAAAAACATGTGTTTCGTGATCAGCGTCAAAAATAACCCCTAGACACAAATTTTCAGAATCTTAGCAAAAAATTTTTGAAAAATATTGTCACCGGTGGAAGTCGAACCAGCGACCCTCAGATCAATAGCCTTTCCGCCGCTTTTCGCGATTTTTCCCCTTTTTTTTGTTGTACCCTAAAATTTACCATAATAACAAAAAAGAGAAAACAAATAACAAACAAAAATTTCAGAAAACAAGAAAAAAAACTAATCAACAAGATGGTCGCCATTCTTATTCAGGACTTCTTTCCACCGCTCAACAAGCTTATGAATTCCATCTTCATAAAATTCTTGGGGCTTCGATAAAAAAAAAGTCAGCTTTAGGATGAGCTATAAAACGTCAAAATCGGACAAATTTAAGGTACTCTCCCAAAAAAATCCGAAAGGACTTCTCCACCAACCCAATATATTAATATTACATTTTTTAATCGACTGAATAATTGCGATGAATGCTTTGTTTCGATCGCATCAATGTCAACAACGGGAGCCATTCAACATTTATCGAGCTTGGCGAAAGTAAGCATTTATCTTTGCATTGGGATCTATTGTTCACTGTTTATTAAAACTTTGATGTTTAGTTGTGAGCAATGCCGCTCAAAACGACGAGTTGAGTCACCGCGCAAAAGGACGAACAGATGCAGGCAAGTTTAAATTTATTTAATGGTTTGTATTTGTTTGTTTTTAGGGGTGTCAGTTTACAGCAGCACTAAGGAATCATTTCATGATCAATTCCCTGCTCGTCTACAAGTGGTTATCGTACACAACGAACCTCGGTTTCTGGGGCATTTCTAGGGGAATTACACGATCTATTGCCAGCATTTGAACACTTTTCACTCACGTAAACAAATGATTGAATAAGTAGTTCCATTGTACATTCTCGTAAATATCTTTCTTACTGTTGTTTGTTTGTAAAATTTTGATTGTTATTGTCTAGGAGTTTGTCATTTTATTGGAATAAATAAATAAATAAAAGAGTTTGTTTACCTAAATTACCATGGGCATTTAAAGTGGGTTAAACGTAACATATTCAATGGATGAATTGAGCCAGGTACATTTTCTTCGTTTTCTTTAAATAAAATCCAATGTTGCCTAGCTTATTTTCACTTTATTTAAAGTTTTAGTCTCTCCTGACCAATCAGATAGTGAGAGCCGCCGTTTCCGCTGTAAGCTCAAAAATGGACACAACGTTTGCGTAAATGATACGTAAATTTTTTTACAGTTTTTCGGTTTTCTCGGCGACGAGTGAATAAAATTCAATTTGGTTTGTTTTCATAGTTGTGTCTATGTAATTTGCATGTTAAGGCAAAGTTTCAGGGATTTTAGTTGAAACTCGCAAGTTGGTGCTACTTTTTATCGCTCAGGTGAGTGGGCGGGACTTCATCATTTTTTTGTCAATACTATTAGAGAGAATACGGTAAATCCAATAATAAACTCACGAATGGTGTGACGAACGGGGTCTCTTTTTTGACGAAAGCTCGCACGGCTGCCATGAATGGATTGGGAATTACAGTATCTTTGAGAGTTGAACTCGCGTCTAATCAAGCTTACTGTATTAAAAGAAACACTCGAGATAAATTGTAAAGTTGAAGCCTTTTGCAGACCTTTTGCAGAGTCTAATTTCGTTCTAATCTGAAATTTGTGACGTTGGATTTGTGGAACGCGAAAATCGACGCGAGGCACGATCGAATTGTGTTCACCAGAATGAGCATTTGTATGACTCATGGCGGTTTTCCTAGTTTCCTTTTGGTGATTGCAATTTTAACAAGAGTTTCTACTTGTCCTAATGTTCTGAAATTCGGGTGGGGCTACATTCAGTTCTCACCCTAGTGCTCCGAAAACATTTGCTACTCAGATATTTCCAGAAATTTGCAAGATCTTCTAAAAATCATGCAAATTTCCGCTACATCTCCCTATTTTTGTGCCATGTTTGCAACTTCCAATATGATTGAATCGAAAGCTAGCACTGTAGAATTACATGATATGGATGAAGAGGTACGAAAGTTAACACAAGTTGTATATGTACACTACATGTTGATAGCTTTGGATTTCATTACTTTCTATTGGTTCCAGGCTCTTCGCCAATTGATCGACTTTATTTACACAAGTCAACTCACAATAAATTCATGTGAGACATTCGTATTTTGTCAAAGCAAATTTGAATTGGTAATAAATTTGCATACGCATTGCTTCAACTGCATCTCACACGTAAAACAAATAATTTTTTATTCGCTTCTACTCGATATTTGGTCTATTATCTGCTTAATTCGCGACGATCAACAAGGGAAAAACGATGAAATTCCTCAAGAAGATCATCCTAAAACTGATTTGCGCTAAATGGGTACGGTAATTAGATATATCTTTATGTTAAAAGGCTTTAACTTTCCATTGTCGCTTTTAATACAGTAAACTTGGTTAGACTTGCGTTCAACTCTCAAAAATATTTCAAGTCCCAGTTTCCCATCTACCGTTTAGAATACAGTAGATGGGATAAGAGAATGGGTGCTTTACAATAAGTTAAAGCTTTTCTACAGTAAGATAAAATCTGGAGTCTATAGAGACTACGATATCTTAGCTTTGCAATGAGAATTTGCAGAATGAATTGAAAAGTGCCATCTCGGCTCCATCTCGTCCCACCGATTTGGTCGACAGGGGCTCTTCTCTCCAAGAATCGTTCAACAAGAACCCCAAACGAAATCGGGAATCTAATGGTATTCATTTGATTTCTAGAACTTTGAAATTGGAGTTGATTTAGAGTATTCGTCTTTCAGCTTTGATCCCATCTCTGCCCCAAGTCACAGCCAATCAGGTGAGGGGTTTTTAAATCAATTTCACGTTTAGATTCTAAATTGTCCTTTTTTAGATCCAATTACCTACTCGAGCTTGGAAGAGACGACAGAAATCAACGATTCGGATTTGACCGTACCTGAGCTCGAAACCTCGTACCAGATTAGTCAACTCGGCGAAATCGTCGATTACACGCAGAAGTGGGTCCAGTTCAAAGACATTTTCACATTCTCTTTTCAGTTCAAATCCGTCTTTACCACCATTTGTGGCAGCCGCGCGAGCTTTCGTCGAAAAAGAGACCCCGTTTGTCACGCCATTCGTGGGTTTATTATTGGATTTGTATATAGTAGATTAGGTGTAGTAAAACCGATAGGCATTCTAAAATTTGAAAAACGATAATGATGTAGCATTTTAGTTTATGCCACCAAAACGGCGACGTTTCGTGGCTGGGAGACGGCTTCGCAGTCGAATCACGAAGGCGGCAAAGAATTGGAACAAGGCTGTCGATCAATTTCAGCGCCGGAATCCCACCACCGAGCACAGCACATACATTGTGAGTTTTTGAAGCTCAGAACAATAAGACTTAAGTTGCAGACTTAATACCAAACTTGTTACTTTTAGGTACGTGTCACCAGGAATAGTCAGAAGACCTAAGCATGAGGAAAACGGACTCGAAAAATATTGAACTCTTTTGCATTTGTGTGAATAAACTTTTTGAACTTTTTACCTATGTGTATAATTGCGCGCACAAGATGGGGTACCCAAAATTTTTGATTTCAAAGCTGTTTTTCTTTAAGGTAGAGTGCTGGAATCGCTCTGAAACTACGATTTTCGCAATCTACGCAAAAATTTACCTTATAATCAATATTTGTAAAATTGTTTCAAAGTTTCATAGCGAAAAAAAAACCACATTTGCGAAATTCTCACTTCTTGGGCGGTTTATTTGCAAAAATGTCAATGTATGTCAATGTCAATGTAAGTGTATGTCAATGTCAATGTCAATGGCAAAAATGTATGTCAAAATTTGGATTTTACGCCCTAAAATTACCCAGAAAAACAACTTTTCGAACGGAAATTGGTTAATATTAGCTTTTTAGAGCTTTTTTAAAACACGAAAAAAGGTTGCATTCGTCCCACTCCCACAATGGTACCACTCGTTTTTAAATTGCATTTTTAAGGACCTCCCTTTCCAAAGTAAAGATATTCAGTGTTTTAATTCAAAAGCTAATCATTTTGTTACTATAAATGGGTAAAATTTTTTGTTTGCAATTTACAGCTAGGCTAGGGATAGGCTAATTTTCGCCATAACTTTCTTCTAAGTAGGCCAATCTTCACGATTTTGGTGTCATTTTGTTGCACTTATTGAGATCATTTTTTTGTAGATCTCAATAAGTGCAACAAAATGACACCAAAATCATAAAGATTGGCCCCACTTAGAAGAAAGTTATGGCGAGTTGCGCATGACGGAAATTAGCCTACCCCCAATATACATTTTTTTGTTGTTTTTTGCCCATAACTTTCTTTAAACTTATTAGATCATCAGATTTATTAGGCCATTAGGTTTGTTTTAATGTAAGAAATAAAATGATAACTAAATCAGTCGAAAAAGTTAAATTTGAAGAAAGTTATGGGCAAAAAACGTCGAAAAAGGGGCCCCCCTACAGAGACACTCGAAATGTATTTGCAACTGCAATTTGTTTGTAAAGTGCGTTTGTTTTTTTTCGTTTCCAGCTCGCGCGCGCGTTGTTTCTAACTTTCTAACAGCAATTCTAACTTCCTTTGAGATTATTTTTCTTGCCGTTAAAGCGTTGAAAAGCTTTAAATATCAGTAGTTTGAGGTTGTTTTACTAAATTTGTACAAAGTTTCAACCGTTTTACCTACCTACCTACCTACCTACCTAGTTTAGTTTTAATCGATGGTCTTGATTTAAGACTTAACTTCTCGTTTTATTTTTTGGCAGTGTTTTCTTCTCCGCAACTCTCTTAAGATTTTCATTTTGCAGAGATGAGCGAAAATGTTGAAAACTCGGACGCAAGCAACAGCGCTGCGAATGGTAAGTTTTTAATTTGGTATAATAGGCAAATGCTGCTGGTTTTTTCGATGTACGATTGAAAAATTACATTTTGTGAGATTTATGCTTAACTTTAGGAAAATATGTGCCTCCATGGAAACGAACTGATATTCAAAAGGGTGATGAGGGACAACGTGAACGTCGTGAAAGTGGAGACAACAGCGGTCGCCGCCACGGAGGGCACCAAGGAAGAGGAATGCACAAGGTTTGATTCAAAGCCTTTGGCATTTATCGTTCAACGTTTAGGGCTCGCATTTCCATCAACATGGCAATCGTGGTGATGAGGGAACTTACTCGGCTCGCAGTGGTGGACACGGATCTGGAACCGATGAGCATCGACGTGATGGTGGATTTGGTGGAGGTCGTCCACGTGGCGGAGGCTATGGAGGTGGCCGCGGACGGTACGTGTTTATATTGGGTGTTGGATAATCTGGATTTTCACATTCTACTTGCTTACTACTCTTTCTTTTAGTGGAGACTACTCCAACAGCGCTGACGGCGGCACCTATCGCAATCATCATCATGATGAACAAAATTGGGGACGACAAAATAGTGGTGGCTATCAACACGTAGAACATGAAAATCGTGGTGGACAAGTCAGAACTCCACTAAAGTAACGTGCATACAGTTAATTAATCTATACAAATTGATTTTAGCAACCGTTGGAAAAACACTGACGATGAACCTCAAGCTGACGTATGGAGCCAGCAGCTTCCAAGAGGTACTAGATTTGAATGTACAAAAATAATTTATTACTAGTTTAGATGAAAGCTCGGAACAGGAGCTCTTCTCAGGAATGAACTCGGGGATTAATTTCAACAGTTATGATGAAATTCCCGTCGAAGCAACTGGTGAAAATGTGCCACAACCTGCGACTTTGGTATATTATTTTTGTATTTCAAATGTGATCGCGCATCTAGTTCTCTGAGTTGAAGTTGCACCAATGGGTGAATGAAAACATCAAATTGTCGGGTTATGAGCGTCCGACACCCGTGCAGAAGTACAGCATTCCGGCATTGATGGATAATCGAGACCTGATGTCTTGCGCGCAAACTGGATCCGGAAAAACTGCCGCCTTTCTAGTTCCATTGATCAATCACATTCTTCAGGTTTATATATAGCTTCATACAAACAATTATGTATATTTATTTAGAACGGACCTAAAGCAGTTTATCGCGAAGCTCCTGGACGCAATGGTCGGAAGAAACAATTTCCCTGTGCTCTGGTCCTTTCGCCAACTCGTGAATTGTCACTTCAAGTAAAAGATTTAATGCATGGAATTGACAACTTCGCATCTTAGATCTATAATGAGTGCAGAAAGTTTGGCTATCGTACACCCATAACTTCGGCAATTCTCTACGGTGGTCGCGAAAATTATCAACAACAAATCAGCAAACTTCGGGTAAAGATTTTGGAACTCAAAATACACTTACAAAAAAAGTCGTTATATTTGTTGTTATTTAGCTTGGTTGCCACATTCTTATTGCCACTCCTGGGCGTCTTATTGATGTGATGGAACAAGGATATATTGGACTTACTGGTTGTCGCTATTTGGTGATCGATGAAGCTGATCGTATGCTAGACATGGGTTTTGAGCCTCAAATTCGACAAGTGAGTTTTAATACATCATGTATTTCATTGATGTGTTGGCTTTTAGATTGTCGAACTCTCAAGCATGCCAGAGAAGAAGTATCGAGTGACTGCTATGTTTTCTGCTACGTTCCCGAAGGAAATTCAGGTAAGTTTTGTTCGATAAGCATTAATAATATTTTCTCAGATTCTGGCTCAAGATTTTTTGGTGCCCAATTACGTATTCTTGGCTGTCGGACGCGTGGGCTCAACGTCAGCGAACATCATACAGAAGGTCGTTTGGGTCGAGGATAAGGAGAAACTCAGCTGTTTGATGGACCTACTTGATGCTGGAGGTTTGTGTGATAATACTCTGTTGCAGCAGTTAGTCGTATCTGTTTTTAGGCGACGAGGCATTGACGGTAGTGTTCGTGGAAACAAAGCGTGGTGCTTCGGATCTCCAAAATTATCTGGACCGTAAGAACTATGGTGCGGTGGCTATTCATGGAGATTTGAAGCAATTTGACCGAGAACAGAATTTGGAGCGCTTCAGGTTTTTTGGTCAAGTTTTCCTCAATCCGTTTAATTTTAGATCAGGGAAAGTAAATGTAATGGTGAGGTTCTTTCGCACGTTGTCTATCAATCAAGATAGTTTATTTTTTACTAATAATGGATTTAGGTTGCAACGGCTGTAGCCGCCCGTGGTCTTGACATCCCAAGTGTGAAACACGTAATTAATTACGACTTGCCCAACGATATTGATGAATATGTGCATCGTTAGTTTACAGTGTATTGAGCTATTTAAAGTGCATTTTGGGTATTGGACGTACTGGACGTGCTGGCAATATTGGATTGGCGACCACTTTCTTCAACGACAAGAACACGCGGCTCGCTAACGAGCTTATCAAGCTGATGATTGAAGCTAATCAAGAGATTCCAGAGTTCCTTTCGACGGTTTGCTGACTCTTTTCTTGACTATTCATTTGAATGTTGTAGGTTTCGAACGATGCTAGTCGCTATGGACAAGCAAATTCGCGTGGACGTGGAAGCCAAGGTGGATCACGCAATATGCCTCATCGCGATTATCGGATTCAAAATTCTGGAAGCCACTATGAGCCTTCACCAGGTTTCAACGTAGTTGTCTATTCTTAATTTTTGCTTTAGCCGAGTCTTCAAGGAACGGCTTCCGCCCAAAACCCACCCAGAACAAAGATTGGTGGGATTGAAGTGCCTCACGTAAAAATCTATTTCAAAAGTTTTTTATTTGTCTTTAATTGATTTTTTAAGTGTGTTTGATTGTTGTGTTTGTGGCTCGAGTTTTATTCCGCTCTGCGTCTAATTCCATATCGTGTTTGTGGGATTATTGGTCACTTGTGAAAACCCCTTTACCCTGTGAAATGTGGTGTTCTTCCTTTAATTCTATTGTTTTTGTGTATTTCATAAATGGTTTTCAGAAGAAAATGGAGTTTAGCTGGGGTGTACATGTGCGCTCATATTGTTGATGGGAGCTAAAGTGGAATGTGATTATCGGCATTAAGAATGGAGAAGGTTGAGAGCGACCTTGGCGGTCAATTCGCCGATAGAGAAGAGGTACATATTCAAGGAAACATGAACCAATCATTTAACCTTAAAAACCTCCTTAAGGCTAGTAATTCGCCACCACCAAAACTTTACGTCGACACCTCTCACACCTCAAGTTTCTTCGAACAGCTCAATTCATTGAGAAGGTCTTTTAAAATTCGATTCTAATTCAACAAAGTTTTAGTGACCGTTTATTATGTGACGTTTCACTGGTACCAGTGAAACGAGTCTCGCTTGACAGACCTGAAACTCCTTCGAACTTTTGTAAAGGCTCGCCAATTTATGCACACAAGTAAGACTTTTTGGTTACATTTTTAAAAAAAAAGTTTTACACTTAGTCAGCACTCCAACTGCAATTTTAGAGTTATTCTATCTTCTACATCTCCCTATTTTTGTGCCATGTTTGCAACTTCCAATATGATTGAATCGAAAGCTAGCACTGTGGAATTACATGATATGGATGAAGAGGTACGAAAGTAAACACAAGTTGTATATGTACACTACGTATTGATAGCTTTGAATTTCATTACTTTTTATTGGTTTCAGGCTCTTCGCCAATTGATCGACTTTATTTACACAGGTCAACTCACAATAAATTCAAGTGGGAAATTCGTATATTGTCGAAGCAAAACTTTATTTAGATTTAAGCCATGCCCTTCTAACAACAGCCTCGATGTTGCAACTAAATTCAGTTAAAGATGCTTGTGCAAAGTATGGACTTAAGGTTCACCGAAAAAGCAAACTTTTAGCTTTTTGATTGATACAATAACGCTTGGAAATGTGATATCTTTGCTCGACTTTGCCTGCATTTATAATTGTACTCAACTAGCAGTGTCTGCTCGCAATTATATTTACAAGAATTTTTGGTATGTTTTCATTTTCTTCCAAAAATATTGTTTTTCAGTCATCTGGTAGATTCTGATGAGCTTTTAACGCTGGATTTTGAACGATTCTGCAGTTTAATCTCGGATGATCGCCTAGTTTGTGGTGAATGCGGTGAAGAAGAGGTTTATCGAACGGCTATCAGATGGATCCAAGCAGCGCCAGAAGAACGCGAACAATATACACCAAAGTGAGTGATTTTCGTAAAGATTTTGGGAAATACAAACGTCTTATTCGATTGCATAATCTGCATTTCTTAGGTTGTTGTCGCAAGTGAGACTTGGCCTCTGCTCCGGAGACTTTCTAGCGGAGACAGTTTTCAATGAGCCAGTTATTAAAAATCAGCAAGAGTGCAAGGTAGATAAACTTGCTAACGATTTTCTATTCTAACATTTCTTTAAGGATATTCTTCTGGAGGCAAGTAAAGTACATCTACGCCGAGGGCGACTTTCCCCATCTGCGTCATCACTTCGGGAGCGGTTTGTCCGACCCCGACAACAAATTGGATCGAACAAGGTTTGATTAGTGTATGATTCAGAAATATTGTGGTTTGTAGATTGTGATAGTCGTCGGAGGTCAGGCACCAAAGGCAATTCATAATGTTGACGCCTATGATCCAACTACAATGCAATGGACTTCTTGTTAGTCTTCAATCAATTTTATTCTAAAAATGGCTTTAGTGAGCCCTTTATCGCAAAGACGTTGCCGATGTGGTGTTGCCCTAATCGATCGTCATATCTATGCTGTTGGTGGTTTTAATGGAGCTCAGCGAATGAAATCTGTTGATGTGTATGACACTATTAGGTTGGTTACTTTGATTGCCCATATGCATCTTGTTTTTAAATAATTTTTTCAAACAAAAAAATTTAGAAATCAATGGATCCCTGGACCACCTATGAGGTATTAGTTTGTGATACAAAATGTTATATGAGGATCGAGTTGACTTGTTAAGTTGTTTGGTCTTGTAATCAAATAAATTTTAGGCTTCGTCGGGGAACTCTTGGGGTGACCACTTTCAACGATCAGCTATTGATTGCTGTAGGAGGTTTTGATGGAGCAAATGGGATTGCAAATGCTGAACTGTTGGATCCACGAACAGGTTCGCTGAGTTATTTTGCAAAAACTATTGTTGTGTTTAGGAGATTGGTCAGAACTTGCCTCGATGACAACGCGTCGGTCGTCGGTTGGCGTGACGTCTGTTGGCTCTAGTGTTTACGCGGTTGGCGGGTACGATGGTCAGAGTAGACATTGTTTGAATACGGTATGTCTTCTTAAACTTTTCAAAAATAACCAATTCTTTTAGGTAGAAGTTTTTGATCTGCGAGCAAATCGTTGGCGTGCTGGGAAGCCATTACGCGAGGTAAGTTTTTCTTTAAAGCTTTTCTTAAAATTGCATTAGGTTCGATCTGGAGCTGCAGTATGTTCTCTTAACGGTTTAATCGTTGCTGCGGGTGGTCACGAGGGAGCAACTGTGAGGGATACCGTTGAGGTTTGTAACATTTTCGTATGAAATTATTCAGAAAAAAATAGATCTATAATCCTGGGGTAGATGATGATTGGGCATTGATTCCAAACATGAGCGCTCCAAGACGAAATGCGGGTGTACTTTTTGTGAATAGGTAATCAAGCTTTTGAGTAAACATAATAAATTTATTCAGCTCTTTAATGGTTTTCGGTGGCGATGAGGGAGATTCTCATTTATTGGATTCGATTGAAACATTGACAATGGATATGGGTAGAGGACAACGGGCAGAGTTTGCCGGAAGATGGCAAGTAATAGAGGTACTTTGAATTTTCTTAAAAAATGAGCATTTTATTTAGTCAACACTTCCGCAACCTCGATCATACAGTGGATTAGTGCTTGTCGATAAGCCGTAGCTAAAATTTAGTTATTATCTTTAAGCATTTGTTTCCATGGATTTCATGTTTCTGATTTTTTTTTCTGATCTAGTCCTTCAGTTTTTATTTTTGTTATAACCTTGTTGTCTGAAATAAAAAATTCTTTTCTTTTACTGGTACGTAACGCATTTGAACACGTTTGTGATACTCTTGGGTGTAAAAGCACACAGCTCGATTAAACGCACATTTTAAGCTTTTCAAAGTTGATGACAACTTCCTATAAGCTTAAATGGACGCGGTTTTTGATCCAGCAAAAGTAAAGTTTAAAATTTCGAAAGCTAGCATTGGTTTTAGTTTAAACACGAAGTTGAAGAAACTCGCGGAGAGCGCCGTCAATGCATTCCGGCAATCGAAGTAACTATTTTGAAAAAAATTTTGATAACTGTTTTAATGTAGCCCCGGAAGCAATAGAGTTACTCGAGCACGAGCATATGACCATGGTTGCACATATGAACGAAGATACTTTATTTGTGATGGCAAGGTTTAAAGCTTTCAATACAATACAATGGTTGTTGGGAAAGATTTTTCCAATTTTATTTTTAATCTTTTATCAATTTAGTGGACTTTGCGTCGAAAGATTATTTTTGAACTTCTAATATTGTACTCGAGTCGAAAATTCTCGCGGCTTTTGAATAGTTTTCAAGAAACGTTTATACCTCGATTATACCGTGAAAAGAACCCGGAAGATCATGTGAAAGGCTTTACAGATATGCCGATGTATTTTGCTGGAATAGGACAATTACAAAGGTATTTGAGTTTGGAATTTTAGTAAAAGTGGAAAATAAACAAATGGGGAAGCTGCTTAAATTTATATTTACAGACTCGTTGATCGCCTGTTTGTTCGAAAAGTGCATCTTCTCCCACGACACGATACGTCGGTTGTCAAAACCTTGGCGCGTGCTCCGGTAAGCAGTATGGGGTTAAGCAATGTGTGTAATGATTTCCTTGAGAAGAGTATCGGACGTCTGGTCTGGAACGATCACCAAGAAGCAATCGTCTGTTTGTCTGCAGAGGCCGCCAAGAATCCAAATATGTGACGTTGTTTTGCGTTGTTTTTCCGCTTTTAGAATAGACTTTCATCAATTTCTACAACCACATTTGGGCCATCAATTATCTTTTTGGACTTTCGATCTAGAGAAGGCTGGTTATTTCCACCAGAAGGTTCCGTATTTCGTGTAATAGAAGCCCCCCCCCCCAATTTGCATTTAAATTTACATTCAAAATTTTGAGCTTATTAAATATCCATTTTTGACTGAATAGCTTGCTCTCTTTTCTCCCTCTCTCTTTTTGTTGTTAACACTCACAAATTCGTCTGCAGACCAGCAAATTGGGCGTGCTTTTCACTAAAATCACTTTTTTAAAAACCACTTGCACCAATCAATTTTTGCGATCAATTCCCGAATTAATTGCAACGCAGGCATACTGCGATAGGCTGAATTTAACTTTAAATTCTTTTCTTTTTTGTTGTTGTAAAATATTGAGCAATTTTTAAAAATTCCTCAATACTTTAGAATGTACACGGCTAATGATTTATTTTTAGGTATGAACGGCTTCGATCAAGCGAATCGATCAATCGATGGATTGGAAGCTTTCCGCGATTGGCGAAAATTTGAGATGGGAATAACTGATTTCTCCGATGAAATGAATGAAATGAATGAATTGAATAACGAGAGATTACCGACAAGCAAGGAAAACGAAAAAGATTGGATAGAGCCAGACGTCACTTGAGCTCAGCGGACATCGACGAAACTTTGGCTAATTGGATTCGAGAGAAACAAGCCGAGAAGAAATGAATCACCCGTCGGATCCTTCACACAGAAGCGATGAATCGAAGGCCACCTTTTCTTGGAAAGAGATGCCAAAAGGAGAAATGCTCTATTTTTTCGTTCCTCGTGATTATCCGCTCTTCTTCGCCACCTACCTCAACGAATAAGCTTCAAAAAGTTGATAAAAAAAGGTGTTTTGTTAAAATAATGAATTGTTAAGTCATTCAAAAGCTCAAAAGAAATATTACAAATTGTATAAAATTATCATTCTTTTTTCTGTAGACTTTGTAAAATGTAAGAAAAAAATGTCGTTGTCAATGTCAATGTCAAACAATGTCAATGAATTTCTAAAATTTAAGAAAACAATGTCGTTTTTAAATGCAATTCACTAAGAATCATTCTAAAGTGTAAGACGACGACTTCAACTATTTCCAGGTTTGCGGAGAATGACTTAAATTTTGAAGAAAACGAAATCCGAATACCTTTGAAAATCTGTAACGAGAAAACCCACGTTAATACACGCAAAGAATAGAGAAAAATGGAAATAAACGTGTGTTTGTGCAATAAAAAAAGTTAATATTTGTTTTTGAAAACTTTATATTAGTTTTTATTAGAACTTTCTGAGGCCAGCAATATATGTTGAGAGAAAAAAATTTGCTTATCAGTTGTAACTTTAACTTTTAGCAAAAATCTAAGATCAAATTTGGACTTCTGATCATTTTTGACGCTTTTTGTGTTATACAAGGTAATTTTGAATCTTGTTCCGAAACCGCAGTTCTGCTAAAACAGCGCGGTCGTTTATGTGTTAAACAAAGTAAATACTTACTTATTGTTTTTTGTTTCCTTTGGCCAGGTTCCCTGTTTTCTGTTTCCTTTTTTTGTTGTGGAATGTGGTGATAATGAAGTAAATTCTATGGATTCGGAATCGGATGAAGAAAACCCTCGAATCGTATAGAACAAAAGAATGAATGGGAGTTCAAGGATCCATGTGGAATCAATGATTGATATTGATCAATGATATCATTGAAAATTGCAATTTACCTCTGGATTTGCTATCTGGAATTTTTGAATCTCGAAGTTATAGCTTTAGTTGTCGAGCAAACTAATCTATATGCAAGTTTAAAAGATCCAAATTGGAAGCCTACTACAAACAAAGAAATGATGGGCTTTTTCACTTTGATTTTGCAAATGGGGATTGTTAAACTTCCAAATTTGCGAGATTATTGGAGCTCCCGCGAAATCTTTGGCGGTCACCCAATCGGTCCTAAAATAAGGCCAAGACATAGCTTTGAAGATCGGATCAAATACCTGCATTTTACTGATAACTCAAATATTGATCAAAGTGATAAACGGTACATGATTTCAAGTTATCTTCGTGTCGAGGAAACTAATCTATCTGCAAGTTCAAAAGATTCAAATTGGAAGCCTACTACAAACAATCTTTTTCTACAATCTTGACAATCCCAGCAAAAAGTTGTCGATCACTGATTTCAAAATCAAACTTATTGAAATGATGCTAGAGTTTGTTGTTGATGTCCCAAAGAGGCTAAACAAAGAGCCCTACTTGGTTGAAGTATCTGAAGCAGACAAAGATCGAAGGAGATGCGCGAGATGTTACGAAGAAATTTCCAAGCTGAGGGGTGCTGAAGTGGTAAGAAAATTGGCAAAGAAAGTGAAAACTTGATGTGATAACTGCGACAAATACTATTGTGCTTCTTGTTTCAAAAAGTCATAAGAAATATGAATAGTGTCATTGTGTCGTATTGAAGAATCTTTGCTGGTAAGCTTTGAAAGTTTCCGATTATCAGATCAACAAAACCAAAAATGAGCGAAACTTAAATAATTCGAAAATTGTAATAATCGCCATAGTAATCATCATTGTCGGCAGAAATGGCGATCACCAAAACGGCGAAATAAACATGACTAATCTTGATACAAATGTGTTTTTATTTTGTTTATACTCGTTGCCATTATGGACAACATCAAAAAGATGATCTAGAGATAGACGCGACACGAAATTATCTACTATATATGTTGTGTCCGATTTAGATTGAACTTATCGCGGACGTCCGATTTAGATTACAGTCTATATCGGACGTCCGATACAGATCGAACAATAATAAACGTGCTTAATATATGTTCTTAAGCGTTTTTTTGCAATTTTCTGCGCTTTTCAAAGAAATTTTCAAAGAACATATGTTAAGCACGTTTATTATTGTTCGATCTGTATCGGACGTCCGATATAGACTGTAATCAATAAAAGACCTTTGAAAAATGCAGAAAACTACAGAAAACGCTTAAGAACATATATTAAGCATGTTTATATTATTGTTCAATCCATATAAGATTTAGATTGAATCTAAATCGGACGTCCGATATAGACTGTAATCTAAATCGGACGTCCGCGATAAGTTCAATCTAAATCGGACGTCCGATTTAGATTCAATCTAAATCGGACGGAAATCTAAATCGGACACAACATATATAAAAGAGAAGTGTCCGTCTATCTGTCTGTCCGTTACACTCTGGACCTCGGACATGAACCGATTTCGACAAACTTTTTTTTGATCCATAGGGAATTAAAAATGAATAGGTATCGTTCCAAACTGTTTTGCGTTAAATGTTTTCAAACATGGACTTGAAATATACAAATTTGAGTTGCCTCGCAGCCAAAGCATTGTTACAGGGGTTTCGGAGGGGCGGTCTCGACGTTAGTCGCGCTGAGTTTTGCATACTTTGCACACTTCAACTCCATGCTTCAGAACATTTAAAGCAAAAAAAGTCTGGAACGGACGGGAATAGAACCCGACACCCTCGTAGGGCAGTCGTTTTGTAGACGGGACGCTAATCACCTCGGCCACGCCCGCCGAACGGACAGACGGACAGACAGACAGACGGACAGACGGACGGACACTTTCCTTTTATATATAGTAGATTATTCTGTCTCACTTTGCACTACTGTAGCACAGTATACCCCGGAAATAAGTCAAGCTAAACAAAGAGTTAAGGCAAATTGGACTAAATACAAAAGCAAGGTTGAAATTCTAGGTCAAGGCCAATTGTAAGCTATTGGATTTGGCTTTTATACAGATTTTACAAAATCAGAGTTAAATTCAATCGGTTTAAGTGATTAAAAGTCTCAGAGATTCGGTTAGAATGGCTTACCAAGACCCAACCTAAGTCTAGATTTGCTTAATATTTCAAATTCAAAGAACCGACTATTGTGACAACCTGAACTGAATGGCGGTTGGGGTGGATTTGGCGGTTGAGGAGTTACATTGTCATAGCCAACCAGAAAATTAGTCGTTGATTGAACGGATTTTTGAATCTCAATCTGTTGCAGTGAAGCCACAATGAAAAAGAAGATCAATAGAAACATCTCTTCAAATGAAGGTTCTCTCGCTAAAGCACAAAACATTAGATAAAGCATATAAAGCACAAAAAATTTTATATTTTGATTTTTCATCAGGTCGAATGAAATAAGGCTTTCGTTGTTGTGCGAAACGCAGTGGAATCTCCAATTCGTGATATGAATCGTTTTTTGAGACGCTGAAAACGAAATAATCTAATCAAATTGTTGTCAATGTCGCATTCTTTTTCTATTCACTTGCCTGATAAAGTTTAATGAAAAGATCTCGATAGTATTTTGTCACAAAAAGAACGATGAGACAATTGCCGGAAGAATGCAAAGTGGTTATCATTAGTGCATTGGATAAAATTTGTTCTGAAAAGGAGACCGTATAAATAGGAGTTTTAAAAACTTACTTGTTTGCTTATCTTGAACAAATGTTGATAAAGCTAATACAATCCAAGGTAGAACACATATTGTCGCCAAAAAGTTTATCTAGATATTTTTAATGACACTTTTTTTACAATTAGTTTAAGTGAGGTTTTAACTAATTTTGTCAAGTGAATATCGAGTTTTCACATGAGCCTCTGTAACACGAGATATTTGGCATACAAAATTTGTCTTTTTTTCGGCTGATTAACAAGCTTTACTCATTACTTGTTACCTTCTGCCTTCTGGCTACAGAAGCGTTTCGAAAAAAACTTAAAGCAGAGATTCAGAATCCTTGATGAAAAGTCTATCAGATGGGCCAAAGCTCATGTGAAAACTCGAGCTTGACTTGACAAAATTCCCTAGTAAGATTATCGAATAGATCTGTGACCACAAAAGCGGTCGGTCGGTCCCCATAAAATTTTCAGGAATGACACAAAGGTGCAAAAATCTATCGAAGACAAATTCTATCAGCTTCAGCGCCTCTAGACAGCCCGACTTTGCTGCAGGGATCGAAAAACTGACTACTCGTTGGCAAATGTGTATTGATTCTAACGGTTGTTATCTTGATTAATTTGATTTTTTTAAGGGAAAATCTTTGGAATTGGAAATCGTTAAGAAAAATGCAGTTATTTTCCGGAGTACCATTAATAATAATAAATAAATATCATCCGAGAATCCACTCATGTACCTGAACTAACGAAACTCGTAATAATTGTTGATGCATCGTTTGTATTTTGATACTCAGAGGAGGCCCGAGATGAGGAAGTTTGTATAAAAGAGTTACAATAACAGTGCTCCAACTAAAAGCTTAACTTTGCGACGATTTAAGTTACTCCGGTATCACTTAACAAATAAGTTGAACGTATTTTTAGTTTAAAGTATGAGCTCGACACGGACTTTAATTTATTTAAAAGATCAACCTCATCGCAAAGACCACGAGAAGTCCGAATAATGCAAGTGTCAGGGGAAAATTTGAATCGTTTATAAGAACAGAGCAATCAACTGAAGCTATGGTCTAAGAATTGTTTAATTGTCTTTTTCTCTAAAAATTTTTAAGGCAAATAAAGTTACCGCATTATTTTCGTTTATTTGATAAGGAATCACCAAATAATCAACGTGAAAGGTGAATGTGATCACCAAAAGAAATACGTTCGTGAAAAAAAACTAAAAAAATTAACATTTTTCAAATTGATTTCTTTTCATACAGAAAATATTCGTCGAACTCGAATTTTCCATTCTGGAGACGATATAGCGAGACATCGAAGAAAAAAGTTATACAGATGTAAAAGAACATGAAAGAAAGTGAGGAAAAAATAAGTGTGCTAGAATTTGCAGTTAACAAGAAACAATAACCAGCTCATCTTACAGCAAATACGAGAAGCTCCGTTTGACTGAAATTTATTGAATTTGCTGAAATGATGATGAAAGATGGGATAAAGACTGGGCGAGTGTAGGACAAAATAATCGTCATTGATAGGGAACATAGCTAAAATCAGATGTTAAAGGGCGTAACAATCGAAGCTGATTCCAAGTGAGAAATTATATAGCCTATAACTCTTATTTTGTTTTTATTTGATGCTTTTTATACCAAAAAGGCAGAAACAAATCGGCTGATTGATTTCCTGCCATATTCGGCAACATTTTGTTGATGAACATCTCCTGCTGCGGTAGACAGGTTTGAACGAGCCAGCTGGCAAGCCACTCCCCTCGCAGAAAATTAGAATCATTTCTTATTTAACTTTTCTTTGAAGATGATAAACTGACGTGCGTCATTGTTGGGTTGGCACAATTGGAAATTTGCTGCAACATTGCTATATTTGCGGGAAAATTCAAGGAGGCCGAAGTAAAGGAAGTAAAGGAAAGTTGAGAACGATGAATTGGGCAAAAAATGGAATTTGCCGTATCAGCCGTAACTCGATGTTCATGTCCAAACGATAAAAGGATTTGATTTGTCGACACAGAAGTTTGTAGAAGGCCAATTGGTTGGCCAACCTTGCAATCACAGCAGCCGCTCAAGTCACACAAATTGGACTGCGCACGTAGACCACTCGACCACGCGTATAAAGGAGCCTAATAACTGCACCTTTTACAAAAGACGGTCATACTAACTCTTAGAACCAATTTGATTTTTTTAAATTAGATAAAATTTTACACATAGAGCCAAATTTTCAGCCAAATCGGTTCAGCGGTTTTTTCTAAAATCGCATAACAGACAGACACACAGATACACTCTCTCTCTCATAATAAGTAACGATCAAGACGATCATTTAGCTTAGAATCAACACAAAATTATCATTTACTTACAATGATCGCAATTTGAAGCATTCTGAACGCTTTAATGTGATCTGGAGCTTTCACACAACTGAATATACCAATAGTGAGTGAGCAAATAAGGCCATCGATTGAAAGTGGAATTAAATAAAGCGTCTCGAGAATCGAATATTCTGACATTTGAGTCTGATAGTGGGAAAAGTGAGCGAAGTGAGGAAAAGTGGAAAGATGTGACTGTTTGTGAACCCAATTAAATTGGAAACAGGTGTTTTTTGAGAGTCAGGAGACAGCTGTAAACTTTAAGAAATGGTTTTCAGCCTGTGATGAACATTTGTTAATGATATAGCGGTACAGAGCAATTTTTGGCATCTACTGTATGTTGTAGTAATAAAAGAAATAACCTACCTCCTTCGTTAGAGCTAAATCTGTAACTATTTTTTGATGAATCGTTGAATGCAACTGAATTCGAAGTCTTTATTCATAACTTTTTTTGCTATTCATAATTAAATGCAAACACCAAGATCGTTGAAAGATTTCTGATCATTTAAACAGTTTCGATCTTTACTTCTGTTTCTCGTGTCGGCTCAGAGCGATAATAGTTCTTACTAAATTTTTATAAATGCTTTGATGCTTATTTACCAAATTACCTGAAATGTAAATACCCGTAACATTCAGAATTATCTTCCATCTCTTTATGGAGACGAATTCTTGAAAGCTCCGGACGATCGTTTGGCTCTTCTTTCCAACAATCACTAATAGTCGAGCTTCTAAACGTTCGATATTCGCAAATTTCTAACTAGATTACAGGAGAGATGGAGCCGCTTCCGGGATTTCCAAAAGTTTCCTTGTTTTCTAAGGTGGAAGCACTTCCTCTTGATTTATTGAATTGCACGAAGTCTTGCCGAATGAGTAAATTTCATAAAGAAGAACACCGAAAGGCCAGCTGGAAGTTGGGATTAGTTAGAAGTTATTTACTGTTAAGTTACTATTTACTGTGACTATTTACTGTTATTTAAGTTTAAGATAACTGGCAATAATGAGACTCTCACTAGTTTAAGCATTACTATGCCAATTTCTTCAAAGTTTCAATTTCTTTGAGTTCTTCCTTTGATCCTCTTATCAAACAAACTCGATTCGTCATTTATCTCTGTCATTTCCTGGTTTCCTTCTGACCAACCATTAATTTATAATGCTCATCTTTAGCGACCCAAAAAAACAAAGAAAAATGTGGTGTTGGCGTCCAAAACACATTCATCCAAGAACCCGGATTCGAGAGGAGAACTATCATTGCTGTTGCAAGATGGGAAAAGCTAAGGTTAGAAAAAGATTCAAATTTTAATTCTTTAGACATATCTTTATCTTAAGACAGATATCCATATCTTTATCTTAAACTTGTTTAGATCGGATTTGCTGTATTTCTCGTTCTCGACGCGGTCTTTCTGATCTTTTTGGGTGCCTCGATCTTCCTTGGAACTCAAGATACCCGTTTGCCATTGGTAAGTAAAAATATTTTAAGTTTCATCTTTTGATTCAAATTTCTTAGATTCCAGGGAATTAGCTTCGGCGTCTCACTCCCAATCATGCTCCTCGGCATCATCTCACTTATCACACTCAAGCCACTCTTCATGCAAGCCTACGGAATCATTTACGTGAGTTTTGAAAGCAAAGGCTTTAAAGTTTAAGATTAAGATTTAAGATTTCTTTTCCATTGATCTGTTGTTTTTCCAGTCTGGGAACTTTTCCTAGTTCTGGGAACTTTCCTAGCCTTAATCTGTAGATTGTCTCTGTAGATTGGCAAAGTTACTCTAAAAAGATTTAATGACAAGCCAATTCAGGAATAAGAATTCATTTGACAGTCTAAATTGATTTACCAAGCCAAAAATTTGCTTAGGAACAGCCCTGACCCCAAATAAAGTGAAGATTTCAAATTGAATTCCGAAAAGACATTGACATTTTATTCTAGAACTTGAAAATACTCAACCTGAAAGGACCACAGAACTAGTAGAGGCAATATTAGTCTAAAATCACTAATAAATCAACGTTTCCAGATCCTTCAGCTCCTTTTCCTCACGTTCTCAATTCTCACCTACTACATTCTCTATGTGACCGATAATGATTAGTGAGTTTTTGATTTAGTTTAATCTTTATCGTATCATAAAGCTGATAAAGCTACCTAGATCCAGAAATCGACTCTTTTTACTGCACTCTTTTTAGTCACTCTTCGGATCTCCCACGTGTTCCCGTTACTGACTACCCCCGCGCCGCTTAGCCACATACCGGAAAGAATTTGGGCAGGGCAGGGGGTCCTCTAATTCGAGAGATCAAATGATACGTTAGCTTCAAAACGCCCCACCGCCGTTAGGCGGGTTTTTCGGTTGGTATCAAATATTATTGGAGGGATGGGCGTTTTTGGAGTAAAAACGGAGAATTGACCCTTGACCACCAAGGTTTTCAATATCAGCTTCACAAAATTCAATAAAGTTTTCTAAATAATATAATTTAAGAAATATCAATAAAATGGGTGGAATGGCACAAAATCAAAAAGCTATCATTAATTATTTCCCCTATCATTTGGTATACTTTTTGCTTGTATACCTGTTTGAATAGCTATCGTATCCAAGTTATTACAAGTGACTTTCAATTAGTAACAAAGTGTAGATCAAATAAGATTCTTGAAATTAAGAAGATATTCTTTCTCAATCTATCATCGAATTTTTCCTGGTAATTTCCTGGTTTCACTAAGGGTTTGTTCGATCGCACTTTTTTTTCTTATTCATAACCATGCGAATGTTACTCAAAGTTCACTCACAAATTTATTATTTAACGAAAATTTCGATTAATGAAGGTTGCCAAAAGGGCATGTAGGGCACAACCGGCGGCCGTGTAGAGGAGTCCTCCGATAACATCGGGGCCCTTGAAAGTCGGATAGAAATAGGCAAAGAGCAGGATGATGATGAATGTGATGAGCTCCTTTTGGGGAATTGACATTGTTTTTGTATTTCTAAAGTCGAAAATTCAAAAAAGAAGCACAAAATAATCATCGAGAAAAGAAAAGGCAAAAGAAAAAACTATTGATTCCTATCGGAAAAGAGTTAATACAACAACAATAGACTTCCATTTTTTCAATTCGTTGTCTAAAATGAAAATTTAAGAAGAAACTTTGAATATTAGTTGCACTTCCGTCACAAGCTATCTCTTGTATGTACTTTTGCAACATGTTACTTCTGCATGATATGTAAAACTCCTGCCTCGGCAACGAGATTTTTTGGAGAGAAGTGCCCTGCCTTTGCAAAAACTCCATTCGTTTCGGAGTGCTAACAAAACTTTAGATGCTTATAACTCCTGGCAGATTGTCATTTAGCAAAAACGGAATACACACGGAATCAGCATGAAATTCTGCGTCGAACGGTATAGGTCGCATAGCATTTGACCGGCTCAGCCAGTTGACCTTCCCTTGTAAAAGTAAAAACTTTTGGAATCATTTCCTATAAACAAGAGGAAAAACAAACGGAAAAAAGGCTTCTCTAGTTGCAAGACACAACGAAAATTTTGACTTTTAATTGATCAAACTTTGAATTTCAGGTTTCAAAGAGTGAGAAAAGAACAAGAAAGCTTTAGAAAACAAGAAAATCGGCTCTTTTTTTCAAGAAATAGCAAAGTGATGGATAAGCATAAAAGATGGAAGCACTAAAACTATAACCACAAATCAATATGATCAATATTTTTTTGAAAGAAGGATCGACTAATTTCTATTAATAAAATTTCTGTCCATATAGAGGCCTGGTCTGAGGAAGGTCTGTTTGCTGAAGTGATTCAAAGCTAAAACAAACAAAATCACGCTTTATATGTGTGCGTCGTTATGATAAGAGAAATGATTGAAGAATTTTTTCAAATGATCGATTTTAGTCCAGGTTTTCATGTAAGTTACTAAAAAAGCGCCAAACAAACGATCCAATAAATCCAATACGATTAGTCCCTCAAATTCAGAACATTTCCTCACAAAGCTGGACACGGGCTGATAGAGCAGCCTTCGAATACACGAATTGGTCTGCAGAGAAGAACTGCTCGGACACTCAATCATTGAATGAGCAACATTGCCTTCAGGTTATTCTTTAATCTATTGGAAAAAGAATATTCAATAGATGATAAGCGATAGGAAATGGTGATCAATGCCATTTTCTTTGAATGAAGACTTTTCTGATAACGATTCAATTACCCGTTACCGTAATTACTATATTAGTACTGCGAAGTACTATCTTTCGTGACGGCTCAAACCGTAGGACTATTAGAGATGTAGTATCATTAAAGCACTATTTTTTTGAAAAAACCAAGCAAATAGGTACTTATTAAATCAATGAAAGTTCATGTAAACACTTCAAACGCAAAGGAATGATATTTCTTTCAAAAATTCAGGAAAAGGCATAATATTTTAATTTTATTAAGATAAAAGCAAATATAAGAATTAGATAAGAACAAAGATAAAAAGTAATAATTATAGATCAAAGACTGAAACATCCGAATCATCAAAAACAATGTTTCCAAGACAATCATTTACTTCATTGACGGCTTGTTCCAGTCGAGCTTCGGCCAATTGTTTTGCTCCTTCTGGAATTGAACTCTATTGGTGGTTTCTACCCTGGACAATACATCCAAATCAGGCACTCCGATCCAACAAAATTCAGAAAGGAAATAGAGATGGAAGCTAAAAGAAAAACTTGTTTCTAAAGATGTCACAAAAGTATCTCTACGTGGAAAAACAAAGGATAGTGCTGTGTTCAAAACCAAAATTGATGCTGCGACGCAAGTTGATGAAGAAGCTATCGAAATCGTTGCAGACAAAGGGGATATGGCCCGACCCATCATCATCGTTCCCGAGAAGCGAAGGCCAAAAGGATCCGGGAAGAATGGGCAAGGAAACCACAGTCTTAAAGAAGCCAATCGAATTCAGGATGTTTTTGGTCTAAATTTAGTGCCTTTTTTTTCAAAAGGTTGTTAGTTTATTTCAAAAGATCTTTAAATATCTTTTGAAAAGATATTTCAATTCAATTGAAAAGATACTTGTAAGCAAATGTTTTTCTGAATTTAATTTCACATGGCTATTAGGATCATCAAGCTTAAGTTTTCAACAATGACATTGTGGGGATTTTCTCCGAAATGTGAAAATTAAGCAATTCGTGAACCATGCAAGAGTCTAGCAAATGATATTTAAAACAAGGCATACTTATGCATATTACGTTTTTTTTCTTACAAGTACTTGTTAGCCACACCATTCAAAACCAACAATTTTAAGTTCGTTCAACAACGTTCGCTTTTTGCTTTCGAGAATCCAATAATCGGCGCTTATTTCAAGAGTTTCGTCGTCTCAAATGTGATTTGCGGTAATTTTTTTAACTCTCTTTGCAATTAAATAGTGTGTTGAAGCACATAATCTTCTAAGAAATCTAAGAAGAGAAGATTGAATTCCCCTCTTCTTGAAATGGGGGTATTTTAAGTGACCAATTATCGCAGTGATCCGTCATACCATATCTTGGTTTGATTCTCTAAATCTTCTGTTAAAATCGAGGCTTAAAATTGGGCACCGATGTATAATGATAATTTTGTGAATCGAATTTTATCGAATCTGAAAGTAATTTTCGCATCGAATGACTATTGGACACTAGCTTTCGTGTTGATCTTGTCCTTGCTTTTAGATGGTTTGTTCTGAATAGAATTTTTCAAAATGCTTTTAGACTGTTGTCTTTACTTAATTGGTTGTCTCTGGAAAGTGATTTAGTATCTTTTAGGAATATATTATCTTGTGACTTGGTATTTCTCGTATTTCGCTCGTTGGATCGGCTTGGATAGCTTACAACATCCACCGGATATCAGTTATAAATTGAAAGACACTTTGAGAGATTCGATTTATTCTCTCTCGTATTTGGTGAGCGCTTAGTGAACACTTGCCACAATTTGATAAAGGAAAGTAAGGAATGGCAAAGATAGATTCCCGGAGAGGGGATTGAACCCATGATCTTCTTGCTTTCCGGGCAGATGCTCTAACCACTGAGCCCTCCGATATCTTCTTGCTAGAAAAGAAAGAGGAAATACAAGGGGAGCTGTTTGAGCGTTTTTCTATTCGAAATAAAAACCGTAACTCTTATTAGTATCTTTTGAATTTATTAGCATTCAAGTTACAATCTTTCAATCAAATTTCAATCTTTTAATAGTTTAGACCATTTCCCTAAATCTTATCATTTCACCATTGGGAATCTATTTCTCGGCGACGAATAATCGATTGTCGCTTCCAATTCGGTGGGTTATTATTTGAATTCAAGATTATTCAGATTTCGTAATTCAGATTGCTGGCCACCGCCGAGAATATTATTCGATTCGCCTATTCTGTCTGCTATATGCCCTACATTTATTGCCGGTTGGCGCCAACTTATTTATTGAAGAAATATCAGTGTGGATGGCCGTTTTATTGGTTCTCTATGGGTCTCTTCGACAAGATCATCCTTTATTATCCCCTCTACGATATGGCTCAGCATTGTCAATTGATGATCTCAATAAATCGCTTCTTTGCCGTTCATTTTGACGGGTTTCTCTTTCGATACACCCTCAAATGGCCACTTGTACAAGTGGCATTGCCATTTGTGATTCGAATTGCGGTGGCTCAAGTAAAGATCTCCTTCTTTCCACCAAATCTCATGGAGGGTGGCATCTATTTCGATGATTATATCGTGAATTTCTTCAATTTTCTCATGTGCTCTTTGGATTTTATGACCTGGCGAAGGATGAAAGCTTTGAGAAGAGATGGAAAGATTACACGATCCGAATTGTTATTGCTTTTTCAAGTGGGTTAGCATCACTTTAAAGGGGGTATTAATCGCGGCCTGGTGACCATAAAAATTTTTTTACGGCATCCACCTGTTTTTTTATTTTAATATCGCTGATTTTATTATAAAAAGAATAAAAATCACCCGACTAGAGTGATTTGATGGGTTTACAAATTTTTGGAGACGCTGCAAGGCTCGCGTAGTTCATCTACAAGGTAAGTGCGAAAGTAAAGCAAAAGTCAGGCATTATGTTTTCTTTTTGTTTTCTTTTTGTTTTCTTTAGACTTTCGATCTACACTTTTGGTTTTTAACATCTCAAGGTGGAGATTTTATTTTTAGATAATGCAAAAGATCATTAACCTAATCTAGCTTATGGTCTTCTAAATATTCTTGTTTTTTCGAAAGCCAAGAAAACTTATGTTAGGAAACAAAAGAAAACCACAATCGAATGAAAAAAAAAGATCTAATTGCGTCAATCAAAGCGCTGAAGATGGGGGAGATCCAGTCATTTCTGTTGGGGATGCACTAGAAATTGACCAAGTTAGGAAGCCGATTTGAGAAACTGCTGTACTTGAGCGAAGATGAAAGTGAGCAAGAGGAAGAATTATAGATTAACAACTTATTTTTATTGTTTTTTGTGCTTTTTATTTTGTTTTTAAATTTATCTGCAATTAAAACTCAATCGATCTAGACTGTGCTGAGGTGTTTGATGAGTGACGATCTTATTTTTTTCCAAGCTTGCAGCGTCTCCAAAAATTTGTAAACCCATCAAATCACTCTAGTCGGGTGATTTTTATTCTTTTTATGATAAAATCTGCGATATTAAAATAAAAAAACAGGTGGTTGCCGTAAAAAAATTTTTATGGTCACCCGGCCGCGATTAATCTCCCCCTTTAATGAGCACTTACAGGGTGACACCTTGTTTTTCGGTCCTCAAATTCAGCTTTTAAGATAACAAAAAACTATTTAACGCCGAATATTCTGAAAAATTTGTAATTATAGCAAGTTTTTGTTAAATTTAAGACTTTACAAGTAACGATCAAGTCTTTTAATTGGCAATATATCGCCAGAATCAAAACCAAATGCCTGATCGCCTGAATTTCTCTCAAAAACCATCTGAGTTTTCTGAAATTTCTAATTAAACGTAGTCAATCAAAAGCACGTCTATTTTCTAAACTCTTTCTAGAAGAATAGCAAAATTTCAGCAAAATTGAAGCTGAAACGCAAAACTTATAGCTCTAAAAAGTTGGCGTTTTAGTGATTGAATCTGTTGGGTTGGTGAATTGAAAACTGCCGGCTATTGTCATATGTGACAGTTTGAGCACTTTCTTCAAAAGAAACCCATTTTGGTGTCAACTTAAGAAAATATTAATTTTCACTTAAGAAAATATTAATTTGGCAAACAATGTCAAATGAGCATCAAAAAGCCTTGATTCTCTACATGTTCTTTCCTTCAAAATTGGAGGGTAATTTAAAAAAAATTAGCTATAATTATTGGCTGTAAAAAGAGAATACATTGTGGTAATTCTGGTTTCAGAACAGATAAAATACAAAGTTTCCTTTATTGCTTTATAATTGCAGATGTTGACATTCTCGTTTCTCATAATCGCCAACACAATCATTCTCAATTTCACGCAAAACATTTGCTCATACTTTTTTGGCGCCAACGTCTCTGAATTACTCTATTCGACGCCATACTCCTTTCAGGCGATCTTTTTCGTTGGGATCAACAGGTTTTCTTTATAGTCTCTCTAATGTTTTGATTTTAACAAACTCAACAAGTTCAAGAAAGGTCAATATTCAAGATAAATTGTCCAACGAAACTTCAATCGGAAAGGAAACTTCTTTTTGAAATCGGTTCTTTATATTTTCGAATCTGAATAGTCGAGAAATACTGAAATTGAAAAAAATTATTAAACTTTTTGTTTGTTTTTAGCATCACAAGTGTATTCTTCTTGCGGAAACCAAAAGAAAAGCCGATCACTTCTTCGATTATTTCTGTGAACACAAGGACAACAAATATGAGATCACATTGAGATTTGTGATATTCATCGCGATTTTTCCTTTTCAATCGTTTTGTCAGCTAGTTTAATATTTTTTGTTGTTGATAAAAATATTATAATCAAAGGTAGAAAAGATATTGTCAGCAAAAAGATGATCTAGATATTTTTAATCACACTTTTTTTACAAGGGGTTGAAGTGAGCATTTCACTAAGATAATCGAATAGATCTGTGAACACAAAATCGGTCGATCGTTCCCTTTTTGGAACCTAGAGGTCAAGATAAAATTTGCAAGAACGAAACAAAGGTGAGAAATTCTATCGAAGATAATTTCTATCAACTTCATCGCCTCTAGACAGCCCGACTTTGCTGCAGGGATCGAAAAACTGGCTACTCGTTGGCAAAAGTGTATTGATTCTAACGGTTGTTATTTTGATTAATTTGCTTTTTTTTAAATAAAGATTTTTGCAATTGGAAATCATTAAGAAAAATGCAGTTATTTTAATTTTAATGAGAAGCCACTCATTTACCTGAACTAACGAAACTCGTAATAATTGTTGATGCATCGTTTGTATTTTGATACTCAGAGGAGGCCCGAGATGAGGAAGTTTGTACAAAAGAGTTACAATAACAATGCCCCAACTAAAAGCTTAACTTTGAGAAGATTTAAGTTACTCGGTATTGCTAAACAAATAAGTTAAACGTATTTTTTGTTTAAAGTATGACCTCATCAGAAAGACCCCGAGAAGTCCGCCGAATGCAAGTGTCAGGGGAAAATTTGATTCGTTTAAAAGAACAGAGCAATCAATTGAAGCTATGGTCTAAGAATTGTTTAATTGTCTTTTTCTCTAAAAATTTTTAATGTAAATAAAGTTACCCTATTTTTTTCGTGTATTTGATAGGGAATCACCAAATAATCAATGTAAAAGAAGCTTGTGATCGAAAAAAGAACTCCGTTCGTATAAAAAAACTAAAAAAGTTAACATTTTTCAAAATTGATTTCTTTTCATACAGAAAATATTTGTCGAACACGGATTTTCCATTCTGGAGACGATATAGCGAGACATCGAAGAAAAAAGTTATACACATGTAAAAGAAGATGAAAGAGATAGAGAAATACATAAATGTGCTAGAATTTGCAGTTAACAAGAAACAATAACCAGCTCATCTTACAAGAAATATGAGAAGCTCCGTTTGACTGAAATTTATTGAACTTGCTGAAATGATGGTGAAAGATGAGATAACGACGGGGCAAGCGAAGGACAAAGTAATCGTCGTTGATAAGGAACACAGCTAAAATGAGATGTTAAAGGGGGGAACAATCGAGGCTGATTCCAAGTGAGAAATTTTTATCGCCGATTACTATTATTTTGTTTTTATTTGATACCAAAAAGATACCAAAAAGAGCAGAAACAAATCGGCTGATTGATTTCCTGCCATATTCGGCAACATTTGGTTGATGAACATCTCCTGCTGCGGGAGACAGGTTTGAACGAGCCGACTGACAGGCCACTCCGCTCGCAGAAAATCAGAATCATTTCTTATTTAACTTTTCTTTCAAGTTTAGCGATGATGAAGCTATTGAAGATGATAAACTGACGTACGTCATTGTTGAGTTAGCAGAATTGGGAATTTTTTTTTTGATCTGTCTTCGCACTCAGGTGTTCCTATTTGCGCAGATCACAACCTGCTTCCACATTTCTCTATCCCTTGCTATTGTCATCCAGTGTTTCCTAGCTTGATTGTTCCTGGTTCGAAGTCTTCGACTTGCTGGTGCTGGTGATTCAATCACTAGCGGCTGAAAATCAAAATCAATCAAATTAACCTAACTTTTTTGTTTGCATTTGAGGTAAATCTGCATTGTATTCCAAATGTTTCATTAAAAAAACTTTCAATCACCATCGGCTAGCCGTTGGTGATTCAATCACTAGCGGCTGAAAATCACGAGCGGCTGCGACATATATATAATAAATAGATTTTAAAAAATTAAGCATAAATAAAAACGAAAAGATAAAGAAAAAGCTATGGGAAACTTCTGAAGTTACAAAACTCACCTTGATAACAATAAGTGATGTAACCAGGATCATGATAGGTGATCGTATCCTAAAATCAGGGTAAACAGTAAGGTTTAGCAAATTTTCATCACAGGCCGAAAACTATTTCTTAAAGTTTACAGCTGTCCCCTGACTCTCAAAAAACACCTGCTTCCATTTTCATTTCCAATTTGCCCACCCTACTTTTTGGGTTCACAAACAGTCACATTGGGCTCACTTTTCCCACTATCAGACTCTAATGTCAGAATATTCAATTCTCGAGACTCTTTATTTAATTCCACTTCTAATCGATGGCATTATTTGCTCACTCACCATTGGTATATTCAGTTGTGTGAAAGCTCCAGATCATATTAAAACGTTCAGAATGCTTCAAATTGCGATCATTGTAAGTATATGATAATTTTGTGTTGATTCTAAGCGAAATGATCGTTTTGATCGCTACTGATTGTAAGAGAGAGAGAGAGAGTATATCTGTGTGTCTGTATCTTATGCGATTTTAGAGAAAACGGCTGAACCGATTTGGCTATATGTGTAAAATTTTATCTAATTTTGAAAAATCAAATTAGGTTAGTGGGACCGTTTTTTGTAAAAAGTGGAATTACTGAAGCTCCTTTATACGCGTGGTCGAGTGGTCCAAGACTGTCAATCTGGCCCTGAAGAAAGTTGGTTTCAATTGGGTGAACAGCTTAAATATTTTATGGGGCATTGACAATAACTCATTTCCAGTCTATCTTGGTGATTTGTATCCAGGATTTCCGATCTAAATCAAACACTCCTGTTATCTGATAGATACAGATCATACCTGATTTTTTTGAAAAACGAAGAAAATATCCTTTCGATAAGAACGGCATTTTTAAAACATAAAAGACGGAAGCCAAATTAGGGTGGCCAATTTGTGCAACTTGAGCGGCTGCTGTGATTGCAACGTTGGCCAATCAAGTTTCTGGACCTTCTACAAACTTCTGTGTCGACCATCAAATCCTTTCATCATTTTGACATGAACATCGAGTTACGGCTGCTAAGGCAAATTCCATTTCTTGCCCAATTGATTGTTCTCGACTTTCCTTTACTTCGGCCTCCATGAATTTTCCCGCAAATATAGCAATGTTGCAGGAAAATTTCCAATTGTGCTAACTCAACAATGACGTACGTCAGTTTATCATCAATAGCTTCATCGTCTTGAAAGAAAAGTTAAATAAGAGATGATTCTGATTTTCTGCGAGCGGAGTGGCTTGTCAGTGGGCTCGTTCAAACCTGTCTGCCGCAGCAGGAGATGTTCATAAACAAAATGTTGCCGAATGTGGTAGGAAATCAATCAGCCTATTTATTTCTGCTATTTTTGATATAAAAAGCATGAAATAAAAACAAAATAATAGTTATCAGCGATAAAAATTTCCCACTTGGAATCAGCCTCGATTGTTACCCCCTTTAACATCTCATTTTAGCTGTGTTCCTTATCAACGACGATTACTTTGTCCTTCACTCGCCCCGTCCTTATCCCACCTTTCACCATCATTTCAGCAAGTTCAATAGACTTCAGTCGAACGGAGCTTCTCATATTTACTGTAAGATGAGATGGTTATTGTTTCTTGTTAACTGCAAATTCTAGCACATTTATGTATTTCTCTCTTTCTTTCACCTTCTTTTACATTCCTATAACTTTCTTCTTCGATGTCTCGCTATATCGTCTCCAGAATGGAAAATTCGAGTTCGACGAATATTTTCTGTATGAAAAGAAATCAATTTTGAAAAATGTTAATTTTTTTAGTTTTTTTACACCGGCGCATTTCTTTGGGCGATCACTATCGTCTTTTACATTGATTATTTGGTGATTCCTTATCAAATACACGAAAATAATAGGGTAACTTTATTTAAATTAAAAATTTTTTGAGAAAAAATACAATTAAACAATTCTTAGACCATAGCTTCAGTTGATTGCTCTGTTCTTATCAACGATTCAAATTTTCCCCTGTCACTTGCAATATTCGGACTTCTCGGGGTCTTTTTGACGAGGTTGATCTTTTAAATAAATTAAAGTCCATGTCGAGCTCATACTTGAAACTAAAAATACGTTCGACTTATTTGTTAAGTAATACCAGAGTAACTTAAGTTGTCTCAAAGTTAAGCTTTTAGTTGGACCATTGTTGTTGTAACTCTTTTATGTAAACTTCCTCATCTCGGGCCTCCTCTGAGTGTCAAATTACAAACGATGCATCAACAATTATTACGAGTTTCGTTCGTTCAGGTACATGAGTGGATTCTCGGATGATATTTATTCGGTACTCCGGTGAATAACCGCATTTTTCTTAATTTCCAATTGCAAAAATTTTTATTGAAAGTAATCAAATTAATCAAAATAACAACCGTTAGAATCAATACACTTTTGCCAACGAGTAGTCAGTTTTTCGATCCCTGCAGCAAAGTCGGGCTGTCTAGAGGCGATGAAGTTGATAGAATTTGTCTTCGATTCGAATTTTCCACCCTTGTTTCGTTCTTGCAAATTTATCTCGACCTCTCGGTTTCGAAAAGGGAACGACCGACCGATTTTGTGCTCACAGATCCATTCGATAATCTTACTAGGGAATTTTGTCAAGTCAAGAACGAGTTTTCGCATGCACTTTGGCCCATCTGATAGACTTTTCATCAAGGATTCTGCATCTGCTTTGAGTTTTTTTCGAAACGCTTCTGTGGCCAAAAGGCAGAAGGTAACAAGTAATGAGTAAAGCTTGTAAATCAGCCGAAAAAAAGCCAAATTTTGTATGCCAAATATCTCGTGTTACAGAAGCCTTCCGGTAAAACAAAAAGCGGACTCAGAATCCCCGATGAAAACTCTATCAGATGGGCCAAGGCTCATGTGAAAACTCGATCTTGACTTGACAAAATTCCTTAGTCAAAACCTCACTTAAACTAATTGCAAAAAAAAGTGTCATTAAAAATATCTAGATAATCTTTTTGGGGACAATATGTGTTCTACCTTT